AAAAACTAAATTTCTTTGTATTTTTATATCAATAATCAATCATTGTGTCTTCCTGTGAAACTAAATGTGACGCGTGCTTACGTCAGCATGAACTAACTGATTTCAACCAATAATATCCTGACATTCACCCGATCATATTTTATGGAGAGAATATTGTCTGGTTTTCCCTCCGACGTCGTCCGGCTGCTCTGCCTCAACTCTGCTAACTGCTAATGTATCTGCTGTTAGTGTGCAACTGATCGGGGCTCAGCAGCCTCCCAGTAAACACAACCTCAGAGACAGACAGAGGACAGTTTAACGACAGCGGTACCGACTTGTTGCTAAATGAAAACTGTCACCAACAGTAATGTTGTATGCTGTTAGCCAGTTAGCTCGTGCAGGAGCCAAACCCGTCAATAAAACCACCTGAGTACTTTATTCTCTGCAGAAACTACAGACGATCACCGTCGACTCGGCGTGTCAGCGAGAGACTGAAGCAGAGAAGCTTCATCCAGTTTCAGTGACAGCATGATGATTATTGACGGCTCAGTGTGACTGATCACATTCACTGTCCATCACTGACACCACTGATCTGTATTCGATTGATTACTTCACTCTGTACGAGGAAGATTACAGCAGATTATCTCAAACTAAATCATATCAGCATTTTATTAATCATAATATTCATAATAAAGTATCAATACCTCAACATTGCACAACTACAGTATATTATATCATTTGGGGCTTAATAAGGATATTTTCCAATATTCATATGGTATGGAAGGTTGAGGCAAAATCACACATAAAACAATCAAACTGATCAATTAAATGTGTTTAAATGAGACCAAACAACTCATATGTTTAGATAAAATACTTACATAACTTTAAATAAATAGACATTTTTCTAGGAATTATTAATCTATGCAGATCAACAACACAATAAAATATGTGACGTCTTTAAATTTGTGTGTCAAACAACAAAATATTCAGTTTACTGTCATAAAAACTGAGACAAGCTGCTTAAAATCACCAAACTGTTTCTGATTAATCATCTGTTAATAATTGTTTCAGCACTAATCACTACAGCTATAATCCTAATAAACTAATACAAATCATAATAGCAGGTCACTCTAATATCTATTAAAGGTAATGCAGATACAAGTGCTGCCACTAAAGTTGGATATTAGTCTTAATACTTATGTTTAATATTAATAATAATAACCTGCATTAACAAAACATTACTAACATTAATAATACTTCTCTTAATAATAATAATACACTAAATATTGACAATAATGTTAATATTTGAACTGATACTAATAACAAAATTGATTAAGAAATACTTCTATTGGTACTGTAAGAAGTTATTAAAGATAAAAATAACAATAAAAGTAGAATATACTAATACTAATACTACTATTATAAGTACTACTATTACTACTATGACTATTATCACTACTACTATTATTACTAATATTACAAGTACTATTATTATTACTATTATTAGTCCTACTATCACTCCGAGGCTCCGAGCAGCCACCGACCGCTCCCGGAGCCTCGGATCCGGGCTCACCGTGCAGTTGGCCGGCTTGCTCTGGAGGCTCTGCAGGGTCGGGCTGAGCCAGCAGAAGCCCAGGATGAAGAGGCTGAGGATCCCGCAGGCGATCAGGAACAACCCCAGCCTGATGCTCTTGTCCTCGGCCTCGGAGTACTCGTACGACACCCGCATCTTCGCCATGGCAGCCCCGCGGAGACCTCCGCCGGCATGGAGAGGAGGAGGAGGATGGATGGATGGATGGATGGAGGATGAAGGAGGAGGAGGAGGAGGAGGAGGATTCTGTTTGGCTGCTGCTGAGAAACTGTTGAGTTTAAACACAGGCTGCTTTCTGTCTCTGAATGTGTTTCATTCCCTCTGGCTTCATTTATCCTCCTCCCTCCTTCTCTCTCTCCTCTTCTCTCTCTCTCCCAATCTATTTTATACTCGACTGCCTCCCTCTTTCTCTCCCCCTGTCCTCCCTCCTTCACAGTTTTCATGCTTTATCTCTCTGGCTCTGTTCATTTTAAGTACCTGCTGACAGTGGAGGAGCTTTTACTACAGGAAAAGTAGCAATACAGTGTAGAAATGTAATCTATTACTCATTACTTATTTTAAAAGTAGTGCAGTCCAAACAGCCCTTCTAGAAACAACACAAATATTCTTAAATATAATCACATTATTGCTTAAACTAGCATAAAAATCTACCCACTAAAGACTGTAATGAGCCATAAAACTAGTAAAACTATTTAAGAAACTTATTCTGATTACAAACAATTAAAACTCAATTATTTGAGATTCTTAAAATCAGTATTTTAGTCACTTCATTGAGCTGAATTTAAGAATTTGAACCTTTTAAACTAATCTCCCTATAAGACTCATATTCAGACTGCATCAGTGACTTTGTGTTAAATGAAGGAACCAGAAACTAGTGTATGACAGGTTTGATAGGTAGTGAAATACTATTATAGGTCTGCGGTTTTCCTCTTATAAGCCTAGTCTTCTTAACAAACATTTTTTGGGTGTTGTCTTTTGTTGTTGTGGTTTGTTTTTGTGTGCGTTGTGTGTTGTGTGTGCGTGTTGGTTGTGTTGTGGTGGTGTGTTTGTGGTGGTGTGTTCGTTTGGATCTTTGGCTGCACCCCCACCCTTTGGGGGGACGTCTGTTTTACACTGCTTTATGTTAAGAGAGAGGAACCAGTCCGCAAGTAACAGTTTCCAAGTTCAGCTCATTGCCTCATTTCCAAGGTCCGTTTGGAGGCCGGTTTTAGGGACGGGGGGGACGCTGGTCTTGGGCATGTCCCGTCCAGCTCTCTGAAGCGTAATACCAAGTCAGATCTTTTCGGTGCGCGGCAACCAACATAAAGCAGACCAAACACACCCGACAGCCCAAAGCAACCACACACAACGAACCCACCGAACGACAAGAGTAGAATGGCCAAAATGGAAAAATTAGCTCTTGAATCTTTTCACTTGTAAAACAAAAGAACAAATTTTGTTTGGTTCATCCACACAAGCCAAGCAGGTTAACGAGTAAAGAAAAAATAAGAATTTTAACGTTCTTATTAGAATTGTCAATACCACCAAGAAAAAAGAACAAAAACAAAGCCAACCAAGAAGGCAAAAACCACATTTTTGATTTAGGACCTTGAAATTAAATCCGGGAAAATAAATATAATTTTAAATCAATTAATTACATACATAAATAATAAATACATGTATACTATAAACACCAACTTATGTAGGCAACTATATAGAAAAACTGGAAAGGATTGTTGATCATTTTACAAGGTTTTCAAAAATATGGGACAATTTTGTCGAATTTTGTCACCCAGACATTTTGTAAATTGAAAAACCCAGGGCGAGAGTTTGAATAGAGGAAAACCTGGAGGCTCCCCTTGAAAAAACCTAATAAATATTTTTGTCGTACTGGATGGTCAGGAAACACGGGAGATGTTCCTGAAAGAGGGGACTTGACGTGCTTCTTCCCTCTGTCTAAGAGAGGGACTTTATCATATCACAGCGGCAAGACAAAGATAAAACAGTAAGCAGAAGAAGAAACACAGAAGAGACAGACACAAAGACAGGCCAAAAAAAAACACAAACACACAATCTGAAGCCATAAAATCTCCCATTACACGAGCGCCGCACCCACACAGTAGCTCAAACAGAACCCAAGACAACAGCGACTGAGCCAGCAATCACCATAGCGAGAGATAGAGAGATAAAGAGAAAAGGAAGGAGAGATATTAGAAAAACACAAAATAAGAAAACAATTCCTCCCAGATCGCTGGCAATGAGCTTGCCAAGCCACTGGTTGGCCAAACAAAGTATTGTGGGGTACCCACCCTTATAGAGCAGAACTATACACACACATATATATTCCTACACGACACATCAATTGACCCTATATTATTTAACAATAGAATAAAATCCCAACGAGAAATAATAATAATATAGAAAAAATAATAACATTCATTTATATTATATAGATGAGATAAATATAGATAATAGGAATATAAAGGATCACCCAAGTAGTAGAAACCAGTCAATAGAAGAGAGCGAAAAAATCTCTTGATTCAAAAGAGACAAAAAACATAAATATAAAAAATATAATAAATAAAACAAATAATAAATATAATAACACTATATATACTAAAAATGTCATAAGATAAAAAAATACAATAATACACCTTACAAATATCTTATAGACTAAAAGACAGAACAACAACCAAAAAAACCTTGAATTTTCTGTATATTTTCGAGGGTTTAGTTTAAACAATAATGAAACTATCAAATCATATCTTGAATGAAATGATTGATATTTTAGGAGCTGATCGGTAATCAAATAACTATGGGCAATAAATTTCCCTCCTCAAATTGTTTTAACTTTTCTGGGAAATTTCCCCTCATAGTTAAAAATAGTTCAACTCTTGTCAAGAATCCCTTGAGTAAATAGTCCTTCGTAGAACTGAAGTCTACTTTTTTCCAAATTTTCTGGCCCACAGGCATCACACAACTCCCCGATTGATAACAAACCCATTGTTTAAACAATAAAAACTGTTTAAAATGATTATATAAATGCTGGTTAAAGAAAAAGAACATTTTGCAGCTTTTGCATTCATACTCTGTTGCCTGTCTGTGGTTCGAGCTTTTTTCTCTATTTTACGGGTTTAAAAGGGATAGATTAGATTTACTTGTTAGACGTTATTATTTTCCATATTTGTACCGAGTATGTAAATGAACAAAGTTTTTAAAACCATCTAAAAAGGATAAACACATTAGGAAATTTACCATATGAATGGACTGCATTTAAAAAAGGGATTCTTTTTGCCATGAGATATATAAAACGGCGGTTTTCTCTGCAATTTTAAGACCCCCCGGCGCCCCCAGGCTGCTTTAATTATAAAAAAAAAATAACTTGATATTCTGTTTTAACCAACTATTTATTTAAAATAAATAAATAAAGATGGGTTTTTTCACCATTAAAATCTTTAACCCAGGGCATTTTCGTTTATATTTACACGTTTTGGCAATTTTTTTTGGCAGGTTAAACTTGATATTGTTTAGTAAATTTAAAAAATTAATGTAACATTCCCCAAGTTAACAAGTAGTGTTAACCGTATCAGGGGGCTGGGGGTTTCAAACGTAAAATACAGTAACCCAAAGGTAATCACATTTCAAAAGTAAAACTTTGATCTACATTTGCATGCTATAGCCTTTCGGGGATATAACAATCGAACACCAAAAATGAACGACGGAAGGGAGAGAAGGAATAGAAACTTCAATAGGAGATGATGTAAGAATTAACAGGTAAAATTAAATTACACCCAAGGACTTTCCAGCATGGAAAAAAATGTAGTTATTAAAGTAATTTACTTAAGAGTGATATAACTGTTAGAAACAGGGGATCTATAAGCTTAACCCCCTTATTTTTCGTTATCCTGAGTTACCTCGAGTTACATTTGATTAAAATATCGTTTACTTCCCAATCTGGCTAAACTATTTATAAAGTTAAATATCTTTTAACAGTTTAACTAAGGTTAGCAGAATGTTGAACTGAGTTAACTGGTTAGCCAGGACGACAGCATAACAAGTTAAAAAGTAGGAATGAAATTTTTACACTGGGCAAAAAAAAAAAAATAACGAATTTCCCAAAGTAAAACAATAAATTTTTTGTCTAAAAATAAAAATTTATCTTTGTTCCCAAAACCCAATGTTTACATTAAAAGAGGACAAATCCTTGTATATTAATAAAAAACTTGAAGTACTTAATGAGATTTTCACAGTGAATATTTTGGATTTTATTAAAAAAAGACAGTATTAGGCAAATCACAAAGACAATTGTTGCAATAGAAGTGTTTTCCCCAGCAGAACGGGGGAAAAAAACCAGCATTAAATATTAGGTCCTTATTTTTTACAGACAAATAAAGACAGGGCCACTACGCCACACAAACTTCTTTTCCAGGTTTAACACGAACAAAGTGCGTATGGTAACACAGAGTGTGGAAAATGAAGCGAGCTGGTATGAAAAGATAAGAATGATTTGCGCT